GTGTGTGTGTGTGTGTGTGTGTGTGTGTGTGTGTGTGTGTGTGTGTGTCGCTGAAAGATCACAGGCTTTTCCTGCATGGCCAAAGAAAGAGAGGAGACTCCATTTGAAGTGTGCACGCACACTTTTGGAGCAACAAGAGGAGCAGCAAGTCGGCATGTTTGCCAGGTCTCTTTAGGAATCGAGTTTTGTGTGAATGGGAGGCAACTTTTTTAATGAAGGATCAGAGTCCCTTTCTATATCTTTATCTGTCTCAAAGCGTTGGGTAAACACTTCCACTGTGAAACGCAGATGACGCTGCTGTGGCTTGTGACGCACGTCCTGGCTCTGACAAGTCAAAGACAGGCCGCAGTTTGTCAAACAGGAAAACAATCCTCGCTTAGACATCCCGTCTGTTTTGATAAAACTCTGTTTCAATTCACCAAATCAGCCTCGCCGCGATGCCAAGTAGGTTAATAACATGCAGTGGATTAAAGGTTTGCGTATGTGCGGCGCTGCTTTACTGCAGAACGGATTCAGCAGGGGAAAATATATGTATAAAGCTATCACAATAAATTTTTCTGACTTGGTAAGCCAAGTGCTGAAGGTGCAACCACGCTCCGAATCCAGTGACATGTTCATTTCTGTCTCCAGTAAGGCTGCACAAAGCAAGCGATCGGCTTCACAGGCCCGGTACATTACATGGGTTAGTCATGGCTCAGGCTGAATTAAACATAGGAAAAGAGTTTCTTTTTATCTTCTGCCAAAGTGCTAAATCTGACCACTGCAGCCGATACTCGCCCACTTCAAATCCTCCCTTTGATAGTGGAACGCGTAGGAGCTTTCAGATGGATCAGTTTGTCCTCATTTTTTAATGTTTCACTCGCCGCTTGATGTTTGCAGCCGCAAAACAAAAAAAAAATCACACAGAAGAAAGGATTTCCCCATGCAGAGCAGACATGTCRAATTTACATGGTCATTCTTTGTTTACTGCGTGTGCACGCTTTCTCACACGGCCATCTCTGATGCAGGCAAAAATGATTAAAGGCTTAGCATTCCTTTCAGGTGTGCGTGCTGCCCACCACCTCTCAGGCCAGATGGTTTTTTATGATTAGAAATGAGGGTTTAAAATGATTAGAGCTTGTACGACCTGTTTGTACTTGTTGTATGCGTTGGGGATGACTCTCCGCTATCACCACATCWAATTTCACCTCAAATTCTATGAAACTGACTAAGTTAGAGGCATTTTTGTGTTGGCTGAGCTAAATTAGCTGTGGTGGYTATCTTGAATTAAGCTAACTCCAAAAGTTAACCCRTTGAAGATGTTCATCTGAAGTTTAATTTCTGCGAGTTGTTTCAAAWCACATTCWGTGCTTCATGAGATATTTTGCTAACAGACAAACAGAGTTGTCTTCAACAGTTAATACCAATGTTTTAAATAAACCTCTGGCTTGATTTGTAAGTGGTTAAAGTATGAGTTGGGGGTGAGTCTCAGTTGCTGCCACATCAAATTGTAGCTCAATTTCTGTCAATTTGACTAAATTACAAAYACGCTTGTGTTAAAGTTGATTAGTTGTGGCGGCCATCTTGAACTGGGTTTACTCCTAAAGTTAATCAGTTGTAGGCGTTCACCTGGTGAGTACTTTTTGAGAGTTTCATTAAAATAACTGACAAACTACACTGAAAAAAAGGATTTTTGTGTGTAGTAACATTTATTT